TTCTTGTAATAAGAAATATAATTCTTGTAGTCTGGCTCCAATCCTCTGTTGTAAAACTCTGACCAAGAACAACACTTCTAACCGTTTAGTCTTTTTTATAATTAAKACAGAACTACTTAAAGACTCAATTTTGATTAGTTTTCAAATACCTAAAAACAAACACTGAGAACATAAATAATAGAAAAAGATCTGATTGTGCTTTTTGATTCCACAGAGCTAAAGTTTGATTGTAAAAAAGCAGCCGAACATATTTTTATTTTCACCTCAGAGGTTTAACTGTCTTTTTGGAGAGAAGCAGGACGAACCTGAAGAACCTGAAGAGTTACCACAATGATGTTTTTTCTTTTGGAAAACAAATTCTCTTTAACTGCTGTCATTTAGTTGAAAGACTGTCTAATTCTGCAGCTTTCTGTACTTTGTTCTATGTTTTTATAATGTCAGCTGATCAGAACGCCCCTCGGTGAGAAAACTCCTGACTGAAGGTCATCAGTTCAGGAAAACCCACGGAGAACAACAACACGCCTGTGTCTCATTAGTTAAATAAAAACATCTCGGCCCACTATGTTCGGCTACATTTCATTTGTAAGAAAAAAAAAGAGTTGAGAAGAAGAAAAAACAGCTAAAAACAAATTTGTAAGAAAAGAAGACAGCACAATGTTTCTCTGGATTTGTGTAGTTGTGTTTAACTTTGCCGGTTCTTCCTCAGATATRGTTTTTTTAAAGTCCGGTTTTCATCCCTGATCAGATACTGAAGATGCAATAATGTAAGATTATTTTTTCTAAATCGTAGTTCTCCACGTTTGACGGCACGTTTAGTTACAGACTGGCCTTAAAGGTCGAAATGGTTTTAGTTTGTCACGTTACGTTTAATGTCTGCTTCTACTCCTAAGTGTTTATGGCTAACCCTTTGAAAAACAAGTGATAAACTTTTCCGCAAAACAAAAAGACACAATGTTCTTACTTTTCTACTTTTCTGGACAAATGAGACAACAAAAAAATTAAGTATAAAACTATTATTTTTAAAAATCCTGTTCTTCAATAAGCAACACCAAACAGAATCCACTTTAAGGAAAATTTAAAAAACAGCATTGATCCTTAAGGTAGTATCTCACTGGGCTGCCACTGATCCGGACTGGTTGGTAACTACYTGCAGTTTGTAAAACTGCAGTCTGGGACGTGCACATGACTTTGTTCCTGACATTGTACCCGTCTCAGCATCCGTCCTAATTTAATCTACTGGAGAACATCTTAGAAATGAAGATTGACCAATTGGAACTGGTCAGGTGGCAGCGGCATCAGAGCCCCCCTGCTCTGAGACACTATAGGTCCTCCTGGGTGACCCCTGTGTGATTTCTGGGTCTGCCTCAGGGTATCCTCCCAGTGGAACATGTGRTGGGTTATCTTTGTAAAGAGAACTGGTACAGTGCTGTGTGAATGGCTAACATAGACCATGGAACTGAGAGCTTTCCATTCAGACAGCTGACAGATCGGACCAATGCCTTTCTTACTTTGGACAAAATCCCAAAGCATTGATCCATTTTCCTTTCCATCCAACCATCACTTGTGCACATGAGTCTAAAAGACCTAAACTCAGTTTGAGGCAGAGGCCTTCATTATCTGATTGAGAGCCATGGCCTTGGATTTAGAGGAGCCAACTCTCAACAACACACAACCTGGACCAATCGCTGGTGTGGTTTTAAGACCTGGACCTTTGAAGTTGTGGCTATGGATGTGACCATTTTAAGAGAAAACATTTTCAAATGTTTCAAACATCTCGAAAGTTTCCAGATGTCGTGGCGACTCGTTCGAGAATGCCGTTCACCAACTGGTCGCCAATGGTTGCAGCCCAGTGAGATGTTTTGAGAAACGGGCAGAAAATATGTGGACTGAGTAAAATAAATCGATGGGTGTCTGTTTTGTAAAAGTGACTCAATGTTAAGGAATTGTGAACAACAGCTGCCTTGTTACAGTTTAGGTTTTAATACATAAAGTCACAAATATTTTTAAGGTTTTTCCAAAAAGTGCAATTTTCTGAGTTATGATACACGGATGACCTAAAGCACCTTTACCTTTAGATTCACGGCAATGAAACGTCTGATTTCGTGTTTTTTTTTGTTTGTTTTTTTTTTTTTTTTGGTGTTTCTTTAATTCAGACAAATTCTAAACATTTTTTTCAATGTATGAATGAAAATATTTAAAATGCAGTTCATGTAAATATATTTAGACAGGTGGAAGCTCAGTGACAGCAGATGCATATGGCTTTCAGGGTTAAGCATTAATATGTGCATATATTTAAAAGTAGTTTGGACTGGGGGTGTACATATCAATCCAAGTATCCATGATACCAAGATGATTATCAGTATCATATCAATACAATACTTTTGTTCACATTACTCACTTTATTTTCACAAATAAAATGAATAAGTTTGAACACTTTCTTTGTCATTCCTGCAGGCAACGGAAGTTTTTTTTTGTTGTTGTTCACATTATTTGTTATATTGTTGATGTTTTATTTTGCACTAGTAAAGGGTAAAATGGTAAATATTTTATTTTCATACTGTTACATTGGTTTTTATTGTTGTCTAAAATCTTTGTCCTGTGTTTTATAGCAAAAAATTACAAAATTATTCAACAAATATGATACGTTTCAGCGATACTATCGACGTATTTACTTGGTATTGAATCGATACTAAAGATCCTATCGTCCACCCCTAGTTTGGACCCAAAAGAATTAWGCTTGAGTAAAACCAACATCAGTTTTAAATTTGTTCTTCCATGCTGGTAAAAAGATCTCAGGTGGAAAAGAAACGATGCTGTGAAGTTGGAAAATGATGCTGATAAACCTCACAAACTAAAAGTAAAGTTTGATTGTCAGCCATTGGTGTCGTTGGACAAAGTGTCGTTTTATAAAAAAGTCACGCAGATTGGAGACAGAGCTGCATCAGTTTGGACATGTTTGTAAAGACTGGATGGACGACGGAGACGTCAGGACYTCTAAAATGGAATGGGCTTTATCGACTGCTGTGTTTTACACCTTTGTTGCATATTTTAACACTTGTTAGTGGGCGTTTCTTCTCACAAATAAAACAATAATTTCCAGCCCTTTAGTGGAGAAAAACACTGACAAACAGTTGTGTTTCAGAGAGTTTACTGAAGCTGATTCTGAAACGTGACGTTTAAAGATTGTAAATACGTTTGGAGATTTGTCTTGAACTCGACCAAAGTTTGATCATTTAGACCTGAGATGTGACCAGAAGCTGCTGATGTTCACTTTGTGGGATTCAGTTTGTGCTGATGACAGTCTTAGGTTTTTAACACGGGACTCTGAGTAAAAAATAATAAATAAAGCTTTTAGATGAACAGTTTCTTTTTTAACGCTTAGCAAATTTTAATGATGGTCTTGACAGCGAAGCAGATTACACTTCAAMTTGATGAGTATTAAAAAAAAAGGTTTGTTCTTTTCTAACTTACTAATTTCCCTGACGTTTCAAACTTGTGAAATTTGCATTTAGCTTCCATCTCCATAACAAAAGGTGAAAAGTGGTTTTATTTGTGTAAAARACTGAGACCATGAGCCAAATTCAACTTATACATGTTTTATAAGAACAAAGGATGGAAAACCTGTCGTATGGAGAGAAATACACTTCGGTCCTGTGGGCTTGTTTCCTGTGTTGACTGTGGGGAAAGAGAACAAGTTTTAATGCTGTGATGGATYAATACACTTTTCTTGTTTGAAAGAAAAAACTGTTCACTTTGAACTGTTTACAGTTATTATTATTATTATGGACAAAGATAGGTTTCTGTCCAATTTGGAAAAATATTAAAGAATCTATTTTTTAATCAAAAATATTATTTGAACACAATTTTTAATTTTGGGTTTTTATTTAATTTGGACACTTCTGCTGTAAAAACATTTTGTGAAGCCAATTTTTCAAAAATCATCTATTTTTATGTGTTCAGCTTGCAAAACTGTTTTAATTTTTATTTTTCTTAGCTGCACACATTAGCTTCTCTTTGTTCTAAATGAGAGCTTATTGTCAACTACAGTAGTTTAAATCTCTAAATATTTTTAAACAGTGACAGCTGCTTTAGAATGCTATAATTATTATTAATAAGGTACATTTTAAAGGCTGTTTACTTAAATATGGCTTGRCTAAAACTTTAATTATTAAAAAGTAGTTACACATCAATGGATGCTGAGTTTATTTCACTGGAACAMTGGAGTCATATCATCAAGGTTAGAGCTCATTTCAAATATGTGCGTTATATTAGCATGCTAACATTTTGATAGCATTATTAGTTGCCAAGTTAGATGAGGTCAGTGGTGGGCACAGCTAACTAAAAAGCTAGCTTTGCTAACTCATAACCCGCTAACTAAAAGAATATTCTTGCAAATGCTAAGCATGTCAAAAAATGAGTGAAAGTTAATGCTAAACAAATAAAAATTAGCAGAAGCTAACGCTAACAGCTAATCGTTAACCACTACGATAACTGTCTCTTAGTGTCACTCGTCTTTGTCTCCTTTGAGTTGAAGACACAAACCTGTTGATATTAGCTTCTTTGTTAGCTGTTAGCGGACTTAGAGCTGGCAAAACCCAATTTAAGCTAATTGGTCTGCTAATGGTTTTAAAGTTTTAACAAAGAAAGCATAGTTCTGAGCTGAAATCACATTTTTGATGTTATATTAAATTTAGAAACTAAATTTTTCCAACAAGCAAACATGACATAAACACAAAGAGTTTGAATGCTTAAAATCTAGTGAAAAGCCCAAAACAAATGTGGACGATGATGAATGGCTTCTTCGACTAAAATCACATTTTAGGGATGAAGAAAATCATGCAGAGGACATTCAAAACCCACATTAAGAGCAGTGGTTTCCTTTCAGCTGTGCAGACAAATGAGATCAGAGATATGCAGCTGTTTGAAAGTGATGAACCAGCAAATGAGACGGTTAGCATATTTTCTTAAAAAATAAATAATAAGTGCCAGAGACAACCAGCTATGGCTAACTTCTTTTTTTTAAGAGAAATGTGGTAGTAGAAGCCCACCCTTCATCGTGTACCGAAAAGCAAAAAGGCAACAGAGGACAGAGCCATGGTGGGGGGCAGTGTGTGTGTGTGTGTGTCTGTGTTTGATTTAAGGTGGAATAAATGACATTAGTTAATGCTAGTTACACGTTGGTGGAGATTTTGTACTTGGGAGACATGTTATTATGGAACCAGATGAAACTAAAAATGACGCCCATGGTTTTGGGTATACGTTCATCGTAGGCGAACGTCATGGCCTCGTGCAGCGGGACTTTCACCACCTCGATGAACTCCCCCTCGTGTGGCTCCCCTCCGCCCGCGCTCACGCAGTTGTCGTCGGACACTTCGGCGTAAAACATGGTCTGCTTGGAGCCCGTTACACCCACGCCCGATCTGTAGACGAAATAAAATAAAAAGCTTCTTTACAAGACATACATGTAGCTTTAACAGGATCTCAGACTACTTTCACATGATGGTCTGGATATATTATTTCTCTAATCTACTAAAGGTTGTTATTAAGAGTTAGCTCATGAGCTAATATTATTAGAGTTAGCTCACGAGCTAATATTATTAGAGTTAGCTCACGAGCTAATATTATTAGAGTTAGCTCATGAGCTAATATTATTAGAGTTAGCTCACGAGCTAATATTATTAGAGTTAGCTCACGAGCTAATATTATTAGAGTTAGCTCATGA